CTTCCAGGCTTTAGTCTTTGAGGTCTGAAAAACAGCTGTAATAGTTAGCAACGCAGGATAGAACATAAAGAGATCAATATACATATACGTCGATAGCCAGTCGGCAATTAAGRCAATAATCTCACATTGCATTATGTMAGAGAATRTCCYCAGAAGCAGGGAGGCAGTAGATGTAACGGCCAGAGAGTGGCTTGGTTCCAGACCACAAAAAAAAAAATTCCGGGAAACAAAAAAGCTGATGAGGTTACCAAAAATGCCAACCGTCTGGCTACCGAACCAGTACAGGAAAAACGGTTGTCATTAAAAACAATACGCAATGAAAKTTTTCGAAAGGGCTRACAGGCGGAGCAGGGTGAGATRGAATGCTTTAAAGACATACGAATTGAGAAAGATCGTATSYAAAGGGCTGACAAACCGWTCAGGGTGAGATGRAATGCCTTAAGGACATGCGGATCGCCAAGATCATGTGGAAAAGCTCTAAAGAGAAATAAGGAAGGTTTTTATTCGCACGGTCTCGAAAGAACTGCAGGATGGTCYAATGACAGGTCGGAACCTACTGGCATCACATGCGAACTAGATGTGCACAAGTAACGACAATACGGTCAGAATGTACAGGGAAGTATACATAAGAGAGATGCTAAAGAAGGTTTCACTCCAGCCTTATATAGAATTCGTTTTAGATATTCTAGGAGCTTCGCAGTTCAAGGGAGTAGATGAAGTACCGCAATTGGGTCTAGCAAGAAATAATCTACTATGAGCTACTCATCTAGCGGCAAAATTCGGAGCTTTACTGTCAACAATTGCACTGCTTTGGACCGTTTTTTTTTTTAAGTAGTACGGAATTTTAATCCGCCAAACCTAGCCTACTCCCAACTCCAGACTCTCCCACGGACTGATTAAGTATTACACTCGTGGGAGTGAAGTAAGTAAGACATTTAAGTCTCTTCTATGCCACGGACTGACGGACGCCTACTCTGGTCTATATGTCTCAGTTTTGCCATGATTGAGGCTGCCGCTTCGCTGACAGCTCTCCAGTTCTCAGTGGACTGACAMATGAGTGTCGTCAAATTTTCCACCGTAAAACTACTTTGGACCGTCTGAACGGACAGCTTTGAACTATAGAGGAGACATTGTCAGGCACCAACGTCGACTAAGTAAATATGTATAAGCGCTTGTGCGCGCCTGTAGAATCCTCTCGAGCAACTCAAGTATAAAATACAATATTACCAGCGAAAACTATGTAGACACACATCTGAGCATACCACACAAAAGCCACATGTGAAACAACGTGCTGGGGTTCTTCAACTCACACGCTCTCTCTTACCCGCCACACACGCTCCACATGAGCACCTTAACACTTTTTTTGGTTACAAATTTTTCCACTTCAGTCACTACACCTTGGCTGCCAAACCAAGTGAAAATTTTCGAAAAATCACTAAACGAGAAAAGCCGAGAAATTCTCAAGCCAACATGTGGCGAAGTGTGTACATATACTCTACATAGCTTGTTGTTGTACAACAACAGCATTTTCTGCCTTACTCTTTGCTGCTCGCAATGTATTTTTTGTTGCGTGGACTTCAATTTCATCTTTGGCTTCGAATGCTTCGAAAGGTGTTCTCTATTGGATTAACTCGAACCCATACAAGCGCACACACACTCATACATATGTATGTACACGCATAACGATTGTTGGGATTTGTTGTTATTTCGGATTTTCGTGCATTCTTGCGCTTCCTGGTCATTGATTTGGGGAATCGTGCAAGAGGTATGCCAGCGGGTCGAGTGAACAAATTGCATTGCTTGCAAAAGGCGGAATATTTTATGGAATAATAATGCGTACGAACTTTGAAAACAAACCCTGCAGGAAATTGAAGGATATAAAGCGAAAACAGAAACCTTAAGTTTACCACGATGTGTACTTTTTACAAGGAGGCATAAGATTCGGTCATGAAAACTATCGAAGCTTAATCGGGTTGAGTTAACAACTAAGGTTCATACCTGGGAGCGGCGTTAGGTGAATTTTTCCCAAGAACTTTTGGTCACTTTGGCGTGTTTTTCAACTACATCTACRAGAACAGTTCCAAAATGTAAGTCGCTGAAACACTACAGCATCTTCCAAACTGAAGTTTCTCGGGCTACTGCTGGAATAGCTAATAACGGAGGAAACGATACGGTAAAAATATACGTACGTTGATAGTCAAGGGGAAATTAATCTAACAATGCATTGCGTTRGAAAATATTTTTTCGAAGCAGGGAGACGATGAATATAATCGCTGCCGGAAAGCGGCTGCAACTATGCCGGGTTCAAAGCCACAAATGAGTTCTCAAAACTAAACAACCGATGCGTTTGCCAAAAGAGCAATGCCTTTGGCTAACGTACCAGTCGTCGAACCACGATATATAGTGAAGTTTCCGAWAGGGCTGACAGACCGATCATAGCAAAATGGAATACCTTAAAGGCAKTTAGRATCGTCAAGCTCATGTGAAAGGGARCGGAAAGAARACACTTATGCTTTTCACTCACACAATCCTACTAAGTAAGTAACTGTCCTAGTAAGTACTAGTAAGTACTGGCATCACAGGCGAGCCGTATTGGCATTATTAACGCTCACACATGTAGAAAGTGCAGTGAAGTAGGCATGGGAGAGACGCTGGAATACTTTCCCTGCTTCTGTGCGACCTTATCTAGAACTCGACTTAGAAATCTATATACTTCGGATTTCAAGGGTATCAGAAATATTTACCGAGTCTTCGCAAGCTTCGGAGTTCAAAGGGCTGAATGAAGTATCAGAATTAGATACCAAGTCTTCACAAGCTTTGTTGTTAAAAGGACTAGATGAAGTATCAGAATTTGATATAGAGTCTTGGCAAGCTTTGGAGATCAACGGACTGTAAGAAATATCAGAATTTGATACCAAGTCGTCGCAAGCTTCGGAGTTCAAAGGGCTGAATGAAGTATCAGAATTTGATACCAAGTCTTCGCAAGCTTTGTTGTTAAAAGGACTAGATGAAGTATCAGAATTAGATACCAAGTCTTCGCAAGCTTTGGAGTTTGAAGGACTCGATGAAGTATCAGAATTAGATACAAAGTCTTCACAAGCTTTGTTGTTAAAAGGACTAGATAACGTATCCGAATTAGATACCAAGTCTTCGCAAGCTTTGTTGTTAAAAGGACTAGATGAAGTATCAGAATTTTATATCAAGTCTTCGCAAGCTTTGGAGTTTGAAAGACTCGATGAAGTATCAGAATTAGATACAAAGTCTTCACAAGCTTTGTAGTTAAAAGGACTAGATGGAGTATCAGAATTTGATACCAAGTCTTGTCAAGCTTTGGAGATCAAAAGAGCGTATGAAATATCAGAATTTGATACCAAGTCTTGGCAAGCTTTGGAGTTTGAAGTATCAAAATTAGATACCAAGTACTAGGCATCCTGTTCGACATAAACTTCAGCTCATATTAAACTATGTCTTCATCTGCATTACCCAGCAAGCTTGCTGCCACTACTGTTACGCTATTGTAAACCCGACCTAAATCGCTTGCAGTGTTAGCGCAYCAAACGAGTAAAACAGAATGTGTCACTCACTTTTCTTACACTTCCACTTTCTGGATTTAATAATGTAGTATTATAATGAGGTCTAACTTAAGTCATTTTCCTTGAACTCTTGCTCATTGAAACAGCTGAGCATTTTGTGACTCATTTTATGCGAAATTTCAAAAACTTTCACTACGCAAACTCATTGAGGAATTTTCAACTAGCACGTCACCTTCAAGAAACAACTATTTACCGTAAGCACGAACACAAACAGTTAAATGAAATACAAATTTTATGCTCGAACGCCTTGTGTCGCTGGAAAATGATAAGAACAAACTGACACTAGAAGGTTTTTGCATAATCGTAAAAGCATTTCAACAAATGACGACGCTTTGCAAGTATTYGCACGCCGCTGCACCCGCAGCGTGTACACGTAAATGTATRAAATGACAAAATTACAAAGTAGATCTTAAATTCAGCCGCAAGGAATAACTACGAAAAATAAAATGTAATAATCCAAAGTGACGAAGGAGTGAGCTGAAGCGGGAGATGGAGCTTGAGATTGAGAGAGAGGAAGGGTAAGCCGAAAGTGTAACACCACAACAGCGCGGCGCTGCGAGCTGTTGGCATTCAGTAATGCAGTGAAGACGGTCGCGGCGTAGGAGTAAAACCAAACGTGCGTGGCTTTGTGTTAGGCAAATGCGTAGCCACCAGCAACATTTTGATGCTTTTATCACCATTTCCTTACTCTAACCGGTTAAGTAGTTGTTGTAGTTATTGTAGTTGTTTTTTGTTTTTRCATTAACGTCATCGCTGCAACAGCATGCAAATGCAACGCTGTGTTATGCTTATTATCCTTGCGACAACAATGATTGCCGAGSACAATGATGTCCCAAATGAGCAACAAGTCGAGGCAGCAGCATGTAAAGTYTCAGCCCCATGAACTGCGGTTTGAAGGAGTACAAAATTTAGTCATTATGACAACAAAGGAAGAAATCTGGCAATTGAAAGGACGAGTTAACGCGTGGTACTGGTGAAGGGGTCTACAGCAAACATTCATTCATTAGATTTCATCCATTAGATGACCTTGTAACTTTGAGACATGATGCTGAGTTAACTCGTCATTGGCCGGATACAAATCCGAGTCCGTTCCCGTTACTCAAACTCGACTGTCGTGGGAACGGACGAAAATTTAATTTCTTAGCAGATAGTACCGTTGCTTTGCACAATACTCCTCATAAAATTACGTAAAAATCTCTATGCAAATAAAAAAAATCTTTTATAGGTTAGATTATGTTAGTGAACATAACCGATAAACTTATAGCCCATAACTTTATTTGTTATGCTACGTCAAACGCAGCAATACAATTACAATTCTTTCGAACAGCCTATTTTGTTCCATTCCATATTGTACCACAATTTTCTGCAAACTACGTAACAGATGACATCAGTGTTTTGACATTTCTCACAAAATAACATTGTTGTTGTTTGACACATAGGTTTTTGTATTTTGTGCAAAGTGAAAAATTTTGCGCTGCGCTTTTAAAGTGTTTTTACACGCTGCTAAATATAAAAATTACGCATTTGTTTGTCAAAAAACACAGCACTGCCTATAATAATGGCGGATCCAAAGTTCGAGAACTTGCCGGGAATAGTAAGTATGCGCATATAAAGCGGCCGTAAATGGAAATTCAATAAACCTGACTCACATAAGCATACCGCACCTTGAAACGATTTTGTATGTAATTTCACTCCTTTTAGGCTTATGACCAACCCGATGTCTATGARACGCCCGACAATGGTGAGCCCGATACATCAGATTACTATGAAGAGGAGGCGGATAATGAGTCCATCGAGCGCATGCACATCTCAACGCGCGATGCCTACAATCGTTTTCGTGGCGCTTCGCTTGATGGCAGCGTAGACTTTTCTGATCGCATTGGCCGGCGTCTATGTAAAGGTTACGATGCGCGCTCCGGTGAGTATGAGCTAGTTGGTTTGGGTGAAAAGGAGACACCAGTGCAGAAATGCCGACGTCTACAATGTGAAATGAACGAGTTGATGGATGAAGTGGCAGCGCTGCAGGTGGATCGCAAAATTGCACAGGAAGAAAAAGATTCATACGATGCTGTGGCGACCGTTATTGCTACCGCAAAGAAAGTATTAGACTCTTTACGTTTAGAGCAAGTGCTGGGCAAGGAACAAGCACCGTCAGCCGCTGATAAGGAAGTTAAACAATTGATTGGTAGGTTTTTAAATATATACAAATAGTGTCAAAACAAATTTTAAAAATAATTTTTTTTTTTTTTTCAATTATTTGATGCAGGTCAAGTGGAGGAATTCAAAAAATCGGGACTCTTAACCGCTATACCAACACCGGGCACAGATTTGGCTGCATCTGCACGCATCGCTAAGCTAGAGCATCGTTTGCATCAACTGGAACAAGCTATTGGCGCACAACCGGAGAAACTCAGTCGTCTTACCGCCGTTACGAACACAACAAACGTATTGGAGGCAGTGCATCAGCTTAGCACAAAAGCAGCACTGTTACAACCCGATAAGTTGGATGCCATYGAGACGCGTCTCACTACACTCACCGGTAAAATGGATGCAATTGCCGAAAAATCKAGTGGTTCTGCTGATGATGCGAAACGTGATCAAAAAGTCATCGAACTGTATGAGATTGCGAAACGTACGGAGCCGGTGGCTGAAATATTGCCTGACATAATTGAACGTATGCAAGCGCTTGAATCTTTGCACAAATATGGTGAGTATGCGATTGTAGTGGTTATTGAAATAAATAGTTTATAATTCTATTTTTAATTTCCTTTTTTTATAAAAGCTATGAATTTCGCTAAAATTATTGCTGAAATCGAGGAGAAACAAACTACAATTGCAACCAGCTTGGTAAGCAACAAAGAACTGCTACATTCAGTGCAAGAAACATTTGCACAAAATCTGGAAACCATGAAYAAGGAGGTCGCCAAAGTAGAAGAGCGTGTACAAGCGATTGCGGGCAAGAAATAAGTCATATATAAAGCGTTGCACACACATTTTACTCACTGAAGCAACTGCTTATATCTAACATAAATGAATAATTTAATTTGTTTACATATTCTCAAAAACGCAAAGTATTGTAATTCACTTTTAGGTTAAACATTAACTGTGAACTTTTCTTTAGTTGATTTTAAATCGGCATTAARTTGCAGCAAACATTTTTATGTCAGTAAAAGTTAATGTGCTTTGAAATAAATTGAAGTTTGTTGTTTTGAATGTATGATGCGTTTAGCCAAGTATGTAGAAATAGCTATAACAACAACAAAGTTTTGGAATACAATAATTTTCACAAGACGAGYAAAAAACTTTTGTGTATTCAAGCAGATATTAAGCGATTTTGAATCTRAAAAGCTTATTATGAAGTTGAATCTCACTTTAAGAGTTAGAAAGACAGCTACAGGAATGTAGCATTTTTATAGCATGATGAAAATTTAGCTGTTTAGTTGTTGTCGTTTTAACGATTATGTAATCCCCTTTTGGGTGGTAAGGGTCATTTGCGTTGTCGTCGAGCTCGTTGTGGCCGCAAGATAGCGTCCGTTCAGTATGATGTCTTGATCAAGCCGTTTTAAAATTTCTGAAAAAATCGCAATCCAAACCTTAATTTCAATTCATTAGCTTCTATATTCGTTTATACAAAACCGAGAATGTTTTTGTTCTACTATTAATATTCCATATATATATGTGTTATATACATAATATTATGATTATAATTATATTATAATGCAATATGTCTGCTTACATGCATACATAAATTTAAATAAATTTCACAATTTGAACTGAATAAAGTATTTTGCTTACCTTACCATATGTACTGAAGCCTGATGTTGCTCTCGCGATATAATTTTTTTTATTGACCATAATAAGTAAATAGTTAGGATTGTGGAAATGCTCAATAAATTGTTTAAATGAAATAATATTTTGCTTTCTGCTCTAAAGCTAATAAGGAATAACGCGCACCAGTTGAAGCGTCTTCCGCTAGAGGCGTAGAAACAAGCACAGCACAATAAACACTTCGCGCAGGTTTAAAGCATGCTTCGAGTGATTCAGATATGCRGACAATATTACATAGATTTTGTTAAATGTAAACTACACTTAATTTAATTGAATTATACACTAAAAAAAAAATATTTAATGCACTAAAATTTAACACACGAAATTTTACACTTTTCGAATGGGGAACGAACCGGAATAGAACTAATCTGACTTTTCATGAGGTTTCCGTTATTTTGTCAATGGCGAAAACGTAAATAAAGCATATCCGTTGCAAAAACTGTTACTAAACAAGTGCAGCGAAGAATATCAAAAAGAAATATATATAAGAAAAAAAGAAACGAAATATATATACAAATGGAAAATATGTAGCATTGAGTTCAGTGTAAAAATTATACTGATAAAGTGGTTATAATGCAAGTCAAAAAAGTGGGAACTTTAACAAAATCTATCGCGTTCGCAAGTGCATATTTTCTTTGGTTATAGCCGTTGTTTGTTGTTGCGAACGCAGGTATATATTTCGTCCAGAAGTTTCGCCATACCATAATTGAAAACAGTGATATTCTTAAGTGCGTCATTGTTTTTATTTAAGGAGAAAAAAAATCGTTTTTGTGATTTTCTTAATGAGGTACGTTTTAAGAATACACACAAAAAATTTCATAACGTTCTGGTGAATATTTTCGAAGTTACATGGAAATTTGAAAAGTCGTTTCAGAGTGATTGGAGGGCTTCTTAATATATTTTTTCGTAAATAGTCGACGATTTTTTCTCGCCGATAAATATTTTTTTATAAAAACTTTAAAGCCGAAATTTTGGTGAATAATCGATGTTTTTTTTTTTTTTTTTTTTTTTTTTTTTTTTGTAAACTGCCATTTAGTCAAAACAAAATTATTTAGCTTATTCCTTCAATGTGCTTTACTATATTTCATACTAGAGTAACCGTCCACGCTTAACTGTGGCGGATACATAGATAATACTACCTTCTATATGATTTCTATTAATTGGATTATAACTATTAGTTWATGAGATGTAGAACTTTTGTGAAGCAAATTGTGTTAATGGAACATAAAGCACTTACTGTACTGTTGAATTTGGGCTCAGGGAAACCCACCGATGAAAAGAAACTTGCTAAGCTTAAAAAGGCGAAAGCTCTGTGCAAATTTGGTGCCACACATGTTCATAATCTAACAAAAACAACAAATACCTCTTTCTGAGAAGTGTTTGAGTGCTTTAATCGTAATAAAACCAAATTTTTSCGTCGGTGTGTTACAATAGAAAMATAGCTCCATCATTTCCCACTGAAGTCCAATGCTTATGATTTGAAATAAAATATTTTTATTTATGAGTTGTATTAAGTTTTGACAAAAAGAGTGAAAAGGTAACCTATGTCCTTACAGTGGTTCTAAGGACTCCCCACCAATTTTTAGCCAGATCGGTTCAGCCGTTCTTGAGTTATAAATGGTGTAACTAAAACAACTTTCTTTTATATATACATAGATTACTTTAACGAAATCTGCTTGGTTTCTTCAGTTCAGAGGTTGGATTCAGTTCAGAGATATAGTGGCCACCGCAAAAAGACTTTTTTGAGAGGAGCGACCGGAAATCAACTGTAASTCCTTTACAAATAAATATTTGAGTTATAAACTGAGTCTTAAATAAAATACAGTTAAAAGATACCATAACAAAAATACGTAAAAATTTCTCGATCTATAAATTCTGAGTTTTCTCAGAAAAAGCTCTGGAAAATTCGCGTTTTTCGTCCTTCTAACTGTATATATTCCTTTATAACTTACCATTACATTTTTCGTTCGTCATATTTGTGAATTAAATTTTGCTTTTGTTTATTTTACAATT